TTAATTTTTAGATATATTTATTAGTAAAGCTTGAATCTAACAAAAAAGCTTTAAATCTTGCATTAATTCAATGGTATAATTTTAAATCTAAAAAAAATCCATATTATTATGGATGTTCTAGACTTCAATTAACTGAATTATTTAATATAATTGATATTGAAGCAATTAGAAATCAAATTCATATAATTCCTCGCTTTGGTAAAATTAATGATTATTTAGTAAACAAATATATTTTTTAAAAAATAAAGCAAAATATTTAAAATTACATACATATTGTTTGAAATCTTCGAATATATTCGAATATATTCACAATAACATAAATAATTTGACATTTAATAAATATTTTAAATAATATTTGTTAATAAAACAAATATATATATATTATAAATATAATGTATAATATTAATATAATTCGACAATATGCGACTATATTTATAAAATTAAAAATATAAAATTTAATAATTTATACAAAAAGCTGTTAATACGCATTATAGATTGTTCTTATTAATGAATTCATAGTTTTCAAATTTATTTAAAATATTGCAAATTTTTTCGAAAATATTTCAATTAAGTATCAAATTTTATTATTATTCAGAAATTTATTATTAATAATTATAGATTTTTATAAAATAGTTTATTAAAATTAAAAAAAATACAAAAATAAAAAATAAAATCTATCTTAGATAATTAATTTCTTTATTTTTAGCATAATTTTTAGGGTTCTTCTAAAGAACCTGAAACTGGGGTTTAATCATTTGAAGATCCTTCAGATGAACCAGAATTAGGTGCAGGTTCCCCTTGTTTATCAGAATTAGGAGAATGTTTTCCTTGTAAATCAGGATTTGGAACTGGTTCGCTCTGTGTACCAGGATTAGATGCAGGATCCTTATATGTACTAGGCTTAGATGCATTTTCTCTATTAGAATCAGATGGTAAATAACTTGTTAATAATACTGGTTTCATATTAGGGTCTTCAGTAAAACCCGAATTAGGGTCATCAGTAAAATTTGGATTAGGGTCAAAACTACCTCTAGAAGAAGGTGTATGGGTTCCTGCATCACCGCTAGGTCTAGTTCTTTTAGGTCTCTAAAGAATATTATATTTATAGAATATTTTATATAATTGTATAATTATAAATTAACTTTGTAAATATACTTACCTTTCTGGGTTTTTGCAGTATTCTTCGCTTACCACGTCTTGTATCTTCACCATTGCTTTCTTCTGAACTAGTTTCTTCATCGCTGCGTGGTGGACGAAATGTCTCTTTATTTAGTATTTTTTTCTTTTATTTTATATAATTAGTTTTGTTAAATTATTTAAATAATGATTAGTATTATAATAATAAATAAAAATATTTAATCTTATATTAGTTCAAAATTTTTTATATAGATGCGCATATGTTCGAATTTTTAAAGCATTTTAAGCTTTAAAAAATTGTTATTAAAATAATTAAAATAATTATATATTTATACTTATAATTTAAATTTATATCAGATTACTTACTAAATTTTTGTTAAGTCTGCTATATGTAATATCCTCAGATATTGTAAATTTTTCATAATGTTCGCTTAACATTATTTTACATACAGTTATAGCATATGCTAATTTTATATTAGAAGGTAATTCATTAGGCCACACCTTTTTAATAATCTGAATCATATAAGTATCATTAGGATCTGCATCCCCTGCTATATTAATAGATGTGAAAAGTTTACGATAACATGTCTGAGTTTTTAAAGATCCTTTCCATGCTGAAACTACTGCTGATGCAGAATTAGTATTAATTGAATCTAATTGGTTTGCACCAAAAACTGAAAACATTGCATCTTTAATACGCGTAGTAAGTGCACTTCTAAGTACACGATGATGCTGAATTAGCTAATATAAAAAATTTAATTTGTCAAGTTAAAAAATGTTGAATACTTTCGAAATTTGTTTATTTAAATTAATATTATAAAAATAATTTCTAAATATTTCGAATATATTCAAAATATTTAGAATTATTATATTATCAAAAATTAAAATTTACTAGTCCATAAATATTTTGCTTATAATATGTTTGCCATTTTCTATCTGTCATATTAGTATAAAAATCATTATGATTTTCA